ACCATTTTTTAAAGTGATGGTACTTCTGAGTAAAGAGGAAAAAATATACTTTATTTACTGATATGAATGTTCTTAAAGATACATTATTGAATTTTTTTTAAAAAGATGCAGGAGAAAGAATCATTTGCTACCATTTTCATTAAAGAGGAGGAGGAAGAGTGTCTATATGTATTTTCTGCATAAACTTAAAGTTCCCCTGGAAGAATACACTGATTCTACCTGGGGAGTTGAACTGGGTGGCCAAGAGAGATAGGTAGGAAGGTGAATTTTTGTTTTATACACTTAGGTACAATTTGGAGTTTGAACCATGGAGATATATTAAATGTTCAAAAAAATGTTTTAATTAAATAAAAAACAAAATAATGTATCGATATCTTCAGTGTACCAATTGGCCTAGAACTTGTTGGGGTAAAAGATGGTTTATTTGAATAATCTATTCTTTTATCTCTGTTCTCTCAACTTCTTTACCATTTACTATCTCTACCATTTATTTGGCTGTTAATAATGCTTTGTCTCATATCTTATCTTTAATTGTCAAGAAATTTTTTTTCAATGTATTATTTAATTTTTTAGATTTTAAGTTTTATCTATTACAATAATGCCTTGGTTTCTAGAAATAAAAATTATTTTACTATTTAAGATTTTATCTTTTGATTTGGATCAAAATTTCATCTCACATATGTTTTAAGTTCCCCTGGAAGAATACACTGATTCTACCTGGGGAGTTGAACTGGGTGGCCAAGAGAGACAGGTAGGAAGGTGAATTTTTGTTTTATACACTTAGGTACAATTTGGAGTTTGAACCATGGAGATATATTAAATGTTCAAAAAATGTTTTAATTAAATAAAAAACAAAATAATGTATCGATATCTTCAGTGTACCAATTGGCCTAGAACTTGTTGGGGTAAAAGATGGTTTATTTGAATAATCTATTCTTTTATCTCTGTTCTCTCAACTTCTTTACCATTTACTATCTCTACCATTTATTTGGCTGTTAATAATGCTTTGTCTCATATCTTATCTTTAATTGTCAAGAAATTTTTTTTCAATGTATTATTTAATTTTTTAGATTTTAAGTTTTATCTATTACAATAATGCCTTGGTTTCTAGAAATAAAAATTATTTTACTATTTAAGATTTTATCTTTTGATTTGGATCAAAATTTCATCTCACATATGTTTAAAAAAAAGTTAGTTTTAAATTACACAAATAATATGCTAATACTTTCCCATATAAAGCAAAATAGCATATTACAGTCAAGATCAAAATTCCTCTTTACTTCTTTGCCCATCTTCTCCCTCAGTGAGATGACATAACTTCTATCAGGTTAGGGTGTGTCCTTCTAGACCTAGTTCTGTGCTTTTATATCTGTACATGCGTACCCTAGCGAACGCATAGCATTATGTGGGTGTGGCTTTTTCTTTTTACTTACATATCATAGTGTATGTCTTGTTCTGCATTATTTTTACTCAACAGTATCTTCCCATGTTGCACACATATGTCAAGCTCAATTTTTTAAACGTTTACACAGTATGTCATAGTTTGGATAAATGATATTTTATTCACCAATTTCTCATTTATGAACATTTGGATTTTTTTAAATTATTTTGCTTTTGTGAATAATGCTGCAATAAGCATCTTATGCATGCCTCTTTGTATCCATGTGTATGCTTCTCTCTAGATTCCATAGTATCTAGTCTAATGTTTTCTACATAGTAGATTCTCAATATATATTTACTGATTTGCTGACATTTCTCTGATATAGTGGTCTGACCACAGGTATGAAACAAATAGCCAATAATTGTGTTATGTGATGATATTTTTTATTTCAGGATCATTCTGCATTTTATAAGGTATTAGTGTGTTATATACCTCAGTTATGTACTAATACTCATATTTCTCCTGGGAAAGTAAATAGAATTTTGTATGCAGGTAGATTACATGTTGAATATTAACCATAATATTAACTGGTGAAACATTATAACTGGTGAAACATTATTAACTGGTGAAACATTAGGATGTTATTCCTAATAAATGGTACCATTGCTTTGAAAAGTTCCTCATGGAGTTTCATCAGAATACTTTCAACCTGACTTCTAATTAGGACTCCTAATTCAGAATACATTTTTCTTGAACCCAAGTGTCTACTGCCAGAATGTCCCCTAAGTCCTCCAGCATTCACATTTATTTGCAAATAAACTGGTTCACACTCCTAGCCCTCATTTGTGGTCTCATCTTCTCAGAATGTGGTCTGCATGCATCTATATCAGAATCATCAAAGTTACTTGTTCAAATGCACATTCCTAGGCCCTGTCCAGACTTGCTGAACCTGAATCTTGGGGGAGCAGTATCCTAGAATCTGCATTATAAACACAAACACCTGATGACTTTAGATACCTTAAAGTCTGCACACCTCTAATCTAAGGATTTCAGGGAGGGTAAGGGGTAAAGGGAAGGTTATATTTGCCAACTCCATCTGCTTTTCCACAGATTTTTGGCCATACATTATTCTTCTTAACTCATTTAAATCCATGTGAACAAAGGATGGAAAACTTCTCCCTCTTTTTCATTCCAGCCCAAGCACTACTAATACAAGCTGATGTGCATCTATTTCTTTTAAAGACCTGGGAAAAATGAAGATGGAGTGGGGCATTAAGCATAGAGTATAGAACAAGAAGCAGCTTAACTCTAAACATTAGACATCTTACATTGATTGTCCTTATGCACTGGTGGTAGATTAGATCATCGTTTTCCAGGTATCTACTTCCTCCTTCCTCTGCTTTCCCACCTCCATTGGAGGATTATCTCCACCCCATGACTTTGGACTTGGCCGTGACTTACTTTGGACAATCAGATGTTGCTATAATATGCAAATATCTCCTAATATCATCAAGCTGAAAAGAAACCAGTTTGGAAAACGGAAAACTTGGGTTTTAACTCTAAATCTATTATTAATCAGGTTTGTGGCCTTGAGAGTAAGGTTTGAAGCACGTGACACATCTAAGGTCCCTTCTGCTTCTAACATTGTATGAGCCTATATGCGATGCATATAACATAGGGAAGAATTGCCCATTGAAATAGGGAATG